TGATGCTCACTTTGAACTGCAGCAAATTGTCTTCACCACGACTAAATGCAATGAGCTGCTGACATGTGATTGGCTGATTAGCAATATGTGTTACCAACCAATTGAACAGGTTGACCTAATAAAGTGCCCAGTGAGTGTATAATAAAAGAACAAATTTCAAGGCGTGGAAACTGCAATTTTTTTTGACATACACCCCTGCTACATTTATACACTTATCCCAGCATTTAACTAATGCTTGGAAAGCATCAGCATAGAAAGATTTGTCAGTATGCCAGAAGCATCCTAGGACAGCCGGCTTCACCTCCTCATCATTGTGTTCATCGTTCCCACAGAAAGATTAATCTCTTGTAAGATTTCAGGACAGGTTATGTGCCGATTATCCAGGATCAGGCGTTCCATGCGGTGAATGTTCACAGGAATGACTGCTGTGGGCTGGGAACATCACTGATGGACGCACGGCCATCTTTGAAATGTTTAAACCATTCACATGTCTTACATGAGCGTCTCATCACCGTACTGCACTTGAAGTCTTCTGTAGATATCCGCAGGTTTTATGTCTTCATTCACAAGAAACTTCATCGCCACACGCTGTTCCATGCACGCACTAATACTGTTGTCTGCCATCTTGATTAACGTTCTCTGGACATGTGCGCCGCCTATCAATTACAGGACACACTTGCCACTTACCACCACGCTAGCATCCCTTTTTGTATCTGTGAAATTAAAAGTCCCGGTTTGACTTGAACTCCCTTGGTAGAACAGGCCCATCATTCCATAAAACTCTGGTAGCTGTTGGGCAAAGTCCATATGCATTCCATGATCTGACTTTTGGGGTTCAACAAGTTGTGTTGGCTATAGGCCCCATGTTATTCTCAATGTAGCCGTTACATCCAATGATACTATCATTCAATATCCCGAATTCTCAGTTTTATTGACTTAAGCACCGTACAGGCAATGAGAAAACTGGATGAAAAATACCGCTTTCACAGCTTTCAAGAGCCGGTCACGATAATTCATGACAATATGCGAAGGGACAAACGCCAACATTTTTCTCATACGATAGCAGAGCGAATGATTTTTGTTTATTCAGTACAGTATTCGTCCAAGACCACACATGCTCAGAAGTGAAATAATACAATACATTAGTAAATCAAACTAACTTAATTATACACGTGATAGATAAATATCATAAATCTAGTGACACAATACTTAGTGTCTAAAATGATCTAAGTGCTCATACCATAAATAATTTGACTCATAAGTAAAAAAACTTCATAAGACATGGTAATAATAAAAAATATTCAAAAAATAGTGTTAGTGCCACTCAAAAATAAATAAATAGTGGGTGATCGTGCCAAATCACTTATATTAAATAAATTGTCCAATATCCAAAAAAACATAAAAATATTTTTAAAAAATAAAAAAACATAGAAAAATATTTTCCAAGTGATGCTTAGATGCACATGCAGTGTGTTGATAAAGTGTCACTCGTGCACAAATCCACTCTGCTACTTTGGCTGCAATGCCTCCTCACCTCCTTTCAACGACCCCTAGGGGCCAACAAGCCTCTAGGATCACCCTGGATCCTCAACACTCCCGGATGATGTCTCTCGGGATATCCTCCTATATGTCTCCTCCACTCCTCCACGCCTTATGGAGTCCTCTACCACGACTCACTGTGGACACTCACTCTCACAATAGTGAGTTCAAAGAAAGAGAGAATCCTCCATAGTGTAGTATTTTAGCAAATTCAGCATTTATTTATGTGAGAAGAATAAGAGATAACTCACATTTCCCGTACAGCATATCCTTCTCCCCTGCATGGGTAAACTGCACTCATGTGGTCTCTTAGAAAATGGCGTCCGTACCGGAAGTGCGTCACTCCGGACTCCGGAAACAGCGTCTCTGCGTGCCTACGCGTTACGTCACGTACCTCGTGACTTCATCTGGGTCTGGGACCCAGATGAAGTCACGAGGTACGTGACGTAACGCGTAGGCACGCAGAGACGCTGTTTCCGGAGTCCGGAGTGACGCACTTCCGGTACGGACGCCATTTTCTAAGAGACCACATGAGTGCAGTTTACCCATGCAGGGGAGAAGGATATGCTGTACGGGAAATGTGAGTTATCTCTTATTCTTCTCACATAAATAAATGCTGAATTTGCTAAAATACTACACTATGGAGGATTCTCTCTTTCTTTGAACTCACTATTGTGAGAGTGAGTGTCCACAGTGAGTCGTGGTAGAGGACTCCATAAGGCGTGGAGGAGTGGAGGAGACATATAGGAGGATATCCCGAGAGACATCATCCGGGAGTGTTGAGGATCCAGGGTGATCCTAGAGGCTTGTTGGCCCCCTAGGGGTCGTTGAAAGGAGGTGAGGAGGCATTGCAGCCAAAGTAGCAGAGTGGATTTGTGCACGAGTGACACTTTATCAACACACTGCATGTGCATCTAAGCATCACTTGGAAAATATTTTTCTATGTTTTTTATTTTTTAAAAATATTTTTATGTTTTTTTGGATATTGGACAATTTATTTAATATAAGTGATTTGGCACGATCACCCACTATTTATTTATTTTTGAGTGGCACTAACACTATTTTTTGAATATTTTTTATTATTACCATGTCTTATGAAGTTTTTTTTGACTTATGAGTCAAATTATTTATGGTATGAGCACTTAGATCATTTTAGACACTAAGTATTGTGTCACTAGATTTATGATATTTATCTATCACGTGTATAATTAAGTTAGTTTGATTTAGTTATTTAGCGCTACACTATTATAATATTTATTCACTTTGAGCACTGTATTTGGTTATCAGTTGGAGTGTCAGCGGCTGCTAACTAGGGAAAAGGGAGGGTGGTCCATACAAGCGCAGGAGGATCTCTAATATAGTTAATACAATACATTACATCACTTTTCAGAACTTTAGTAACCTGAGACTAGCATGCAAATAAAAAAGTGAACGCTCATTCATCATCCGATAGTCTCATGTGTACGAGGCATTACAGTTAAAGTTATTTTTTATATAATGGCCCATACACACAATACGAAGCCGTACACAAATTTCCATATACGAGGAAAGATCTGCCGATTACCTGATCGTTGGCTTCAACAGACGATTCCGACTCTCCGTACGACACAAAATGAGGGTGCAACCTAAGCTATGGAAATAATCGAATAGAAAAGAACACACATGATCAGAAGGTGATTGAACGACCCTACACTTCCTCTTCTACTACACTACTACTGTAACGGAACCAGACCCCGACCGCGCTAGGGTATTTCTGTTAGACTCCCGCTTCCCTGTCTGAACACAGATCCCTGGACACCACCGCTGACCACACAGGAAATAGACAGCACCAGGCTTCTTAAGACAGGAAGTAGACTGCTTTATTTCAACACAAACACAAGATATATACACAGGGCGGGGAAATACAACCAGGAGCAGGAAACACATCAGCAGGCCGTCCCATCAGGGGGAAGGGCTGCCGGAAACACCCCCCCCCCCACCAAACCAAGACACACAATAGAACAATGGGATACACCACTTGGCAGTAGACAATACAGAAACACATACATCCCATAATAGTTTGCTGGCAAGCAAGACACACAATAGAACAATGGGATGCAGTGCTTGGCAGTGAACAATGGACAACCACATGGCAGTAAACAGTGAACAACCCCCACACCCCACCTACACATGTCCACACAATACTAGGACAGACCACCCTGTACCCCTAACAGGCAGAGGGTGGCTTACACATAAGAGGAATATGAGGAGATGATACAGGGGTCCCCCCACCCCCAAAAGTCACTCCCGTCACAAGTACATAGCTACATTGTCTTTTGTTTGTTTTTTCTTACAAGTCAATACCATTCCGACTACATCATGAGACACACTTTCATGGAAAATAAAATGATTGGTTGTCCAATTTTCTTATAGTGTGTAGTAGGCTTTACTAATGATGATACTTTAGAAGATAGTATGGGATGTATAGGCAGTGGAATCTCTTCCTGGTAAAACAAAGCCAAGAAAGTCTGTGATGCCTTTATTTACACAATTTATTGCGCACAACACCTCTTTTCCAGTGATTATTATTATTATTATAATACAGGATTTATATGGCACCAACAGTTTGCTCAGCACTTTACAAAATGAAGGCAGACATTACAGTTGCAATACAATTTGGTACAAGAGGAAACAGAGGACCCGACTCGTTAGAGCTTACAATCTAGGAGTAAGGGTTGAGTGATACAAAAGGTAATAGCTGTGGGGGATGGGCTGATGGAGGAAATAAATGGTGGTTTACTAGGTAGAAGCAGGATAGACTTCTTTAAAGAGAAAGGTTTTCAAGGATCGTCTAAAGGTAAATTTGGAGCCTTGGGTAGAGAGTTCCATAGGATGGGAGAAGCTCGGGAGAAGTCCTGGAGGCGAGCATGGGAGGAGGTGACACGGGAACTAGAGAGCAGAAGGTTTTGGGAGGATGGAAGAGAGCGGTTTGGTTGATATTTTGAGACCAGGTTGGTGATGTAGCTGGGGGCAGAGTTGTGGATGGCTTTGTAAGTTGTTGTTAATATTTTGAATTTTATTCATTGGGCAAGTGGAAGCCAGTGGAGGGATTGGCAGAGAGGGGTGGAGGACACTGAGTGGAGGTCAGTGGAGGGATTGGCAGAGAGGGTGGAGGACACTGAATGGAGGTCAGTGGAGGGATTGGCAGAGAGGGGTGGAGAACACTGAATGGAGGCCAGTGGAGGGATTGGCAGAGAGGAATGGAGGACACTGAATGGAGGCCAGTGGAGGGATTGGCAGAGAGGGGTGGAGGACACTAAGTGGAGGCCAGTGGAGGGATTGGCAGAGAGGGGTGGAGGACACTGAATGGAGGTCAGTGGAGGGATTGGCAGAGAGGGGTGGAGGACACTGAATGGAGGCCAGTGGAGGGATTGGCAGAGAGGGGTGGAGGACACTGAGTGGAGGCCAGTGGAGGGATTGGCAGAGAGGGGTGGAGGACACTGAATGGAACCCAGTGGAGGGATTGGCAGAGAGGGGTGGAGGACACTGAATGGAGGCCAGTGGAGGGATTGGCAGAGAGGGGTGGAGGACACTGAATGGAGGCCAGTAGAGGGATTGGCAGAGAGGGGTGGAGGACACTGAGTGGAGGCCAGTGGAGGGATTGGCAGAGAGGGTTGGAGGACACTGAGTGGAGGCCAGTGGAGGGATTGGCAGAGAGGGGGTGGAGGACACTGAATGGAGGCCAGTGGAGGGATTGGCAGAGAGGGGTGGAGGACACTGAATGGAGGCCAGTGGAGGGATTGGCAGAGAGGGGTGGCAGACACTGAACGGTTGGTAAGGTGGATGAGTCTGGCAGCAGTATTCATGATGGACTGGAGGGGGGAGGGCCTATGTAAAGGTAAGACAAGAGGAGGGAGTTGCAGTAATCAAGTCGAGAGATAACCAGGGAGTGAATTAGGAGCTTTGTGGTATCAATGGTTAAGAAGGGGCATATTCAGTGATATGTGGAATTGTCCTTTAAAGTGATTACATTTTGATACAGGGTGGTGTATTCAGACACATGTAGTATGTTTTACATGTCCTATGTATGTACTAGCTGTTGAATTATCAAGGATATTCAATAAAAAAGTGTATCTAAAGCCCAAACCTTTTTTTGTTTTGGATAGAGGAGGGTGGTGCTGTCTGTGTCCCCACTGGGGGGATTCCCTTTCTTTGATCATTTTTACCAGGACAGAAAGAGATTCGAATTAAAAATTTGCAACTGTCATAATAACAAGAATCTGAAAATCTTCCAATGAAGACTGCTAAGGTTTCAGTTGATGACTTTCTAAGAGGGACCTAAAGTGATACTAAACCTAAAAATAATTTGTTACCTTAAAGCAGAGTTCCACTCACACTGTAAAAAAAGTAAAACAAAAAAACTGTAGCTGCTGACTTTTAAAAAAACAGCCACTTACCTGTCCCACAATCCTGTGTCCTCCCCACAGTCCATTTCACCGGCTGTCCTGTGTTCCAGGCGCCAGCATCTGCAGTGTGGGCCCCCGCTGTGACAGCTTGAGGCTTCACAGCCGGGTGCCCACTGCACATTCCTGAATAACCCCGTAGTCTTCTGGGACCTGTCATGTGTCCCAAAAGACTATGGGGAGGGAGGACAAATCCCAGTGGAAGTGGGAGCTGGCACCTGTCAAATTCAGGTACCTGCTACCCCCCCCAAAGGTGCCAATCCTTAATGGGGAGTGGGGGACCAGTCTTTACAGCGGAACTTCCCCTTTTGGGTGGAACTGCGCTTTAAAGTGATTTTAAAGGCATAATTTAAAAAAACCAAAAACATATCTATACTTACCTGCTCTGTGTAGTGGTTTTGCACAGAGCACACAGAGCAGCCCTGATCCTCCTCCCTCCTGTCGGGTGCTCCCACAACAAGCAGCTTGCTATGGTGCCACCCACTTCTCTGTGTGTCCATTCACACACGGAGCCGTGTCTTGGCCTTCCCTCTCTCTCACACTTCTCATTGGCTCACTTGCTTTGATTGACAGCAGCGGGAGCCAATGGCTTCCGCTGCTGTCTCAGTCAATGAGAAGAGGGAGTCCCAGGGTAGCCGAGACTCCAATGCACATCATTGGATCGAGAGGGGGCTTATGTGAGAATTAGTGGGGGCTGGGGGGACGCTGCACACAGAAGGCGTTTTACCTTCATGCATTCTTTGCATTCTAAACCCTTCAGCCTTTACAACCACTTCAATGCATTGCTTGTTTTAGGGTAAAAAACGTTTTCAGTTTCACTGAGCTCCCCCTTCTCTGTCTGAAGGGGAAGAAAGGGGAGAAGAGATCAACGCTGAGCATGGCTGCATCTCTTCTCCCCTCTCTTCCTCCTCACACAGGGAATTGAACAGCAGCAGGAGCCATTGGCTCTAGCTGATGTCAATCAAATGCAGTGAAGAGGAAGTGCAGGCGGGGCTAAGTCCTGCTGTGTGTGTCTATAGAGCTCTGTAGGCACACAGGTCAGGAATGAGCACACATTGTGTGCCCCCTAGCAAACGGCTTGCTGTGGGGACACACAAAGAAGAAGAATAGGAGGCAAAATCGCCGGCGGGGGACCCAAGAAGAGGAGGAATGGTGCCGCTCTGTGCAATATCATTACACAGAGCAGGTGAGTATAACATGTTTGTTACTTTAATTTAAAAAAAATCAGACTTTGGAAATATTTCTTGTCCATCTAGAGTAGCCTTTTTCAGCCAGGGTGCCATAGTTCCCTGGGGTGTCTTCTAGGTTCTTCAGGGGTACTTTGGCAAAATGCCTAAAAATTGTCCCAAATTACCCAAAAATTGTGAACAAGCCAGTGGGTGGATCAAATCTGCCCGTTTTTTGTCAAACAAAATCACGGGCTTTAATTATCCATGCCGGAGAGAGGGAGAGGAGCAGAGATTTCAAATCCCCGGACTGCTGCACCGGCTGACAGCTCATCACTCACGAAGGTAAGTACGACAAGGGACACAAAGGTAAGTGTGGGGGGATGGGGAGGATGTAGGGTGTTAGTTCACCTTTTAATTTTTTTCTGAAGAGCTCAACTAACACATTTCCGTTGTGCATTTGCAGACCTTACAAAAAACAAATGTGTTAAATAATGTATATGCACAGTGGCTAAACGGTTAGCACTTCCTCCTGGCAGTACTCGGGTCGTTGGTTCGAATCCCAACCACAGCACCACCTGCCTGGAGTTTGCATGTTCTTCCTGTGCCTGCGTGGGTTTCCTCCGTGTACTCTGGTTTCCTCCCCCACTCCAAAGACATGCTGGTAGGTGAATTGGCTCCTGTCTAAATTGTCCCGTGTATGTATGAATGTGAGTTAGGGACCTGAGATTGTACTCCCCTCAGGGGCGGGGACTGATGTGAATGTACAATATATATGTAAAGCACTGCCTAAATTGATGGAGCTATATAAGTATCTGGGCAGCACAGTGGCTTAGTGGTTAGCACATCTGCCATGCAGTAAATGGCGCAGGGGTGGACTGACCATTTGGAAACTCGGGCACTGCCTGAGTTCGGTGTCAGTAGGGGGCCCCATGAGATTCCCCTGGTACCTTTCTTGTAGGCTTTTTTGAGTTTGGGCAAGGACACAGGGGCCCCATGATCCCCTATTGCCCGGGGGCCCCATGAGTTGTCAGTCCGCCCCTGGTCATGGGTTCAATTCCCAACCATGTCGCCTCCTGCATGGAGTTTGCATGTTCTCCCTGTGCTTGCGTGGGTTTCCTCTGGGTACTCCAAAGACATGTTCGTAGGTTAATTGGCTTCTGTCTAAATTGTCCTAGTTTCATCTCTGGCCATGTGGGATCTCCTGCATGGTGGGGGTTGGGGAAAGACCTGGCAACCTACCCTGTAAAATAATTGCTAAGAGAATTCATGGAAGAAGTCGCTTACAAGTGACGGTCCATGCAATCACCAAGAGTCGGATACGACTGAATGGATAGATAGATAGATAGATAGATAGATAGATAGATAATAGATAGATAGATAGATAGATAGATAGATAGATGATAGATAGATAGATAGATAGATAGATAGATAGATAGATAGATAGATAGATAGATAGATAGATAGATAGATAGATAGATAGATAGATAGATAGATAGATAGATAGATAATAGATAGATAGATAGATAGATAGATAGATAGATAGATGATAGATAGATAGATAGATAGATAGATAGATAGATAGATAGATAGATAGATAGATAGATAGATAGATAGATAGATGATAGATAGATAGATAGATAGATAGATAGATAGATAGATAGATAGATAATAGATAGATAGATAGATAGATAGATAGATAGATAGATAGATAATAGATAGATAGATAGATAGATAGATAGATAGATAGATAATAGATAGATAATAGATAGATAGATAATAGATAGATAGATAGATAGATAGATAGATAGATAGATAGATAGATAGATAGATGATAGATAGATAGATAGATAGATAGATAGATAGATGATAGATAGATAGATAATAGATAGATAGATGATAGATGATAGATGACAGATAGATAATAGATAGATAGATAGATAGATAGATAGATAATAGATAGATAGATAGATAGATAGATAGATAGATAATAGATAGATAATAGATAGATAGATAATAGATAGATAGATAGATAGATAGATAGATAGATAGATAGATAGATAGATAGATAGATAATAGAGTAGATAGATAGATAGATAGATAATAGATAGATAATAGATAGATAGATAGATAGATAGATAGATAGATAGATAGATAATAGATAGATAGATAGATAGATAGTTAGATAGATAGATAGATAATAGATGGATAGATAGATAGATAATAGATAGATAATAGATAGATAGATAATAGATAGATAGATAGATAGATAGATAATAGATAGATAGATAGATAGATAGATAGATAGATAGATAGATAGTTAGATAGATAGATAGATAGATAGATAATAGATAGATAGATAATAGATGGATAGATAGATTAGATAGATAATAGATAGATAGATAGATAATAGATAGATAGATAGATAGATAGATAGATAGATAGATAGATAGATAATAGATAGATAGATAGATAGATAGATAGATAGATAGATAGATAGATAGATAGATAGAGATAGATAGATAGATAGATTGATACATTGTAGATAGATAGATAGCTATAAGTATCTGTAATAAATAATAAAATAATAAGTACCGTATATGGGAAAGGTGGAGTTACCCTTTAAAGATTGGATATTATTTGGGAAGCATTGTTACAGAATAATAAAAGATTGTTCTTTGTGTATTTCCTACAAAGGAAGGTATTGCTATCATTTCCTTATAGTTGTCTGTCAGACTGATTCATGTTTCTCAGCCTTCAGTGTGCTGCTGTCAGATGCCGAGTTTTTTTTTTTTCTCTCCCTGCACATAATGCGCTCGCACTTGCATGCATTAGACGCTATAATATGTAACCAATACCTTTCATCTGTTTGACACAGTGTGTTTCATTGCTTAAACTGTTATTGGAATATTTATGATCCATTTTGGTTTTAATGACAGTCTCTAAGTGGCATATTGTTTACTTAAACTATGGATTGACTTAAAATTCAAGCATATTTGTTTCTTGTTGCGAGTGATATGAGTGTGATGGGAACAGAATACAAGTCTCGAGTTCCCTCGGGCAAGGTCCTATACTTTTCATGTCGGCTTCAGCATGCGTTAACTGATTACTCTCTCCTCTGGTGTTTTCATACTGGTACGGCTGAGAAACCTGGCACCGCGGATTTGATTAATTTTGCATTGATCTTAATGCCTCTCCTGCCTTAAAGAGACATTCCAGTCGAGGAAACAACCAGCCTTACCCAATGCTTTTAATGAAACTCCCTAGGAGAGATATTATATCCAGTGGCAAAAAAAAAAAAAAAAAGCAAATCCTATTATCTCTTGCAGCTTTAAAGCC